TACATTTTTGACATAATTTCACCCCTCTCATTATGCCAAATAAAAATAATGTCCATATCATTTATTTTCTCAGATTTCTGTCTAAAATCACAGTATTAATGCTCTGTTACTTACAGAAAAAAGTTGGGTTAATGTAACAATTGAAATGAAATTTCATCATGGTTTTATGTGGAAAATTAAGGTTTTACAAAAAACTGTAGTGTCCGTAACCACTTTCATTCTGTGAAATTGGAAAGCTCTATAAATATCTTTACTAATTTCCTAGAGAGGCATCTCATATAGATGCTGAGATGTTTTGTAATTTTCCTGATCATCAGCACTGTTTGTCTGTTTTCATTACAAATGTGGTTACGGACACTACAAAACCCTGTAGTGTCCGTAACCTGAATTTGAGGCAGTTTGAAACAGGCAGTGTTAAAACACTACTGCAAATTTGTTCACAAGGGTCAGAAGTTTGTTTAACAAGTTAGTCAATGTACTTTATTTTTCTCCCTCATTTTGATATTGCAACTAATTTGGGAAACTCAGATTGCACCATTTTCATATACAAGATCCTTGGTGTTACATCACCTTGATATTGGCAGATGCTATTGACATCCTAGGATATAAGTCAAATAGCATGTCATTATGTTTTCATTGTTTAAGTCAACTAGTGTTACATTTAAGAAAATCTTGTTGAAATTCCTTTATTTAAGGTATAGTTTTATCCTGTTGTAAATAACTTGAAGAGTGTGTAGTGTCCGTAACCAAAAGTTGAAAAATGAAATATCTTTATTTTTTCTCCATAGAATTTACGGATAAATTTTTGAAACAGTGTATTATTGAATTTAGAGATAAAAAGGCGTTTATTAGTTGGAATTCTTTTAGATCATGTGGTTTTTTTCTTTACTGCAAGTACTAAAATAATGATTGGACACCCACAATGACATTAAAAAATAGTTAGAAATTATTATCACTAGCTACATAACCCATATTTTTTGTGAATATTGCTTCAATTGTTTAGTTGCTGATTAGGTTAAATCTTAAAATGTGTTAAATGCAAGTAAATTGCATTCAAAATGTTAAACAGTTGGTAAGTAATTTGGTTACGGACACTACAACCAATTTCAAAAAAGAAAACAACTAAAATGACACCAATTTCATATAAAGTATTGTATATTTAACTGTTTGAAGAAAAATAGAATGCTTCACAGAAAAGAAAAAAATAATTGAAGAAATATTAGTGAGCTTTATTCTTCAAGACTTGACTTTTCTACTTACACATAACACCTGTCTAAAGTTACATGTGTATATATTTATTCAAAGTATATTGGTTATGGTATGCTTGTAACAGATGAAGTTGAGATCTGAAGAATAAAAAAAATCAGGAGAAACTGGCATGAGAAATAAAATGCTGAAAAAAGACAGGAAAATGGCTTAAAAACAAAAACTTCATCCACAAACCTGTGAAAAATTAAAGTATTGTGTAGTGTCCGTAACCCTTAAATTTGGTTAATTGACTTCATTGATCATTGTACCTACATTCTAAATAGTTTTCATAAAACTTTAATGAATAATAAAACTTTTCTTTTGCACTTCAGTAATAAATACATGTAGTTATGTGAAAGAAGGAAGTTTCAGGATTTCCTAAAGTGGATTTTTTTCTATTGGCATTAGTTCTGCAAGTAAATTTTTACTTGAAGCAATATCTAATTTGTATATACTTTGTATTTAATAATCATTTAAATCTGATTTATAATAGTTCAGAAGTTCATAAAATGTTTTTTTTACCACAAACCAAACGCCAATCTTAAATATTTGGGTTTTGTAGTGTCCGTAACTTAATGAAGCTATCAAATAATTTTAGAAAATTTATAAAAATGAAATGTCCTATTTTAATGGAAGTATTTATATCTCATCAAACGCATAAAAAGTGTTATTTATAAATAGTTTTTTTCTTTATTTATATTGGTTTCAAAGAGTTCACATGAAATGAAATACTACCATTTTGAACAAAAATGTACGAAGTAAGAACTGTTTAAATTTTAAAGTACAATGTCACCTTTTTAGTCAAAATTTTGTCCTTATTTTGTATTTATATATGTTCTTTGTTTGTAAGCAGTTGAAAAAATTAGAGCTTATAAATAGTTTTTAATATTTATTTCAAAGAAAACAACACTTGTAGTGTCCGTAACCTGTGAAAATGAGGTTATTATCAGCTTGTAAAAAACAAAGTTATAATGTGAATTTCACAAAACAGTTTATGTTTCAGATACTTGAGATACTCTACTTTTTAGAAAAAATGTTTTTGGGGCAAAACGAAGACATTAATTTTTACCCCCAAGTGCAACCTTACTGTCCCCTATATTGTGTTTCACCCGTTGATGTATAGAATTAATCCATGCCAATGAAATGTTTGAAATATTATTATCATACTTTTTTTTCATTTTCATGGAATGTATTTATAATGACAGGGATAGGGAAAAAACAGAATTCGTACAGTCTTTTGGCAGTTTTCGTTGACAAATGAAAAAACTGGTATAATTGTTACATTCACATTGAAAAAAAATACTAGTATTCAAAGGGAAAAAACATTAAAATTAAAACATCTATGAGATATGAAATGTATAGACACATAATAAAGGTCATTATTGACGGTTCACCATTTTTGACATGGCACTATAGTAAATTTGCTTTTCTTCCCGACTGTATGATATACATGAATGTATTGGCAAATTAGTATTCATCGGTTTCTATGGCCTGCTTTGGACATGTGAAGTGAAATGTCTGTTTTGGTTTTTTTTAAATATCGGGAGCCATGCAGGCAATACGTTACTAAGGCCACACCAATAAAAAAAATTTGTTCGTCGGACCCGCGCGCTCGTATTTACACAAAACTATACAAATAATATTAATTCAAAATCCCCGCACCATGGGAATTATGTGCTGTTCTCTGTTCCATTTCCGCTCTATTAATTGTACTTTTAATCTTTTTGCTCTGCAAACAATACATATGTCTGTTCAATTTTTATCACGCTCCGCCTAAAAATTTTGCCTATAAAAAGTTAATAATATTACTATTTACCGCTATCCCGCTATAGCGCTTGTTCTTTTTTCATCAAATATCCGATGAACAAGAAATTAAAATGGTGTGGCCGAAGTACTTGATAAGTTTTTTTCTGTATACATCCGTTTATATCCAAACTTATTTAAAAAACGACTCATTTATCATTTTTGCTATTACATTTATTATTCATTCACAGACTGGGTTGAGTTTGGACATTAAAATATGTTAAAAACTCATGACATCACTTTTTTATGACTACGTTGTCAAACCTTTATACGCTCTAGGGTAGTTTTACTGATTTGACTCGAACAGTTGAAACATGTTTCTTTGATATTTTTTTTAAAAAGCAGATTTTTGTATTTTTGTAATTGTATTGTATACATGTATTTCCCTTTCTTTTTTCTAAGTAAACATTTCTACACCAACTCTTTAAACTCTCATTTTTACGTCTACTGGACAGAGACCAGAAGATCTTATGCAATAGTAAGGTGTCTGTCATCTGTCTGTCTGTGTGTATGTAATCAGTTTTTTCTATATCCTTCTACAGTATTGGCCTGATTTCATTTCAATTTGACACAGAATCAGACTATACTAAGATTCATTTTCCTGTACTTCTGTTTTTGATTTCGATGAGTGATGTTGCTGTGGTTACTTAAAAAAAAATTTTTTAATACTTTCAAAACGTTACCAGCTTCTCAACAAATAAAATATCTTGGTCTGTACATTGATTCCAAATTATCTGGGTGAAAATATTGTATCTTCTCTTGTTCAAAAGGTGAACTGTAGATTAAAATTTTTGTATAGACAAGCAAGATGTTTGGATCAAAAGAGCAAATTCTCATTATGTACAGCACTTATCCTCTGTCACTTAGATTATTCATGTAGCTCTTGGTACTCTGGACTGTCAAAAGCTATGAAACGTAAATTACAAATCTGCCAAAATAAGGTCATTCGATTTATATTGGATTTATCCCCGATGCATTCCATCAATTATAGTATTTTTGATTCTATTAATATGTTGAATGTGGACAGGAGAGTGAAGCAGATGAGACTGAATCATGTTTTTAATATTGTTCATAAGAAAGCTTCTGCTTATCTTAAAACCCTGGTATGCTCACTTGTTACCTCCCGTCTAGATTATGGCAATGCCTTACTATACGGTATATGCACCAGTTCCTTAACAAAACTTCAACGGATTCAAAATACGGCCGCCAGAATAATTACTCGTACAAAAAAATGTTTGGTTTCCCTTTACCGGCCGACTGACTAAAATGGCCTAACTCAATTTTTTTTTACATTCCAGGACACAATATTGTATGTTAACATGCAAGATAAGTATTAATACATGCAACTTATTTATGTTAACATACAAGATAATTGGGTAAACATGCAACTCATTTTTGACAACATGATGCGACTTATTTATGTCAACATGCCAGACAATTATGCCAACATGTATGTCGACATGTAACTTATTATTTTGCTTTTTGACATTTAAAAATTTCACATGTTAAAACATAATTCGTATGTTTACATTAAATAAGTCGCATATGGACATAAATAAGTTGTATGTCTACATAATTAAGAAGCTTATTGACATTAATAAGTTGCATGTTAACATGATATTAATTGTCTTGTATTTTAACATAAGTATAAAGCGCATACAAACATATCTATTTTGCATTTCGCATGCATACTGTCAGATAGTGGTGTTAGTAAGTAAACGTACACATATTCAAAATCATATTTTCTTATAAGATCGGTAACTTGCATGTTAACATAATTTGCTTATATTCAGATATAATAATCTTTCATAAAATTATTTTTTCGTGCATGTTGAAATTAAAACTTGCATGTTGGGGTCAGGAATATGCCACCATTATTTTCTTCTGTACATACTGGTTGCAGTTCTCATCTGTGATGCTCTTTGATGAAGAGAATTTTAAGATTCAGAGTAAATTCAAATATTTATTGCACATATAGAGACATTATCTAAGATAGTGAAATATAGTTTATCTTCCACAAGCCATCCAGCTAACTCTCGCTCCATACAACACGGAGTCTGCCCATCTTGTGAGGCTTACACTAAATCCTGTCCTGGTAACTTCCTTTACCTCTGTACTTATACGAAGGTTCACTGTACCAGCTGAATCCAGCAGGTATAAACCGTATGTCAAGGTTGGTGTTTCTTGGAAGGCGGTTTTGAATTTGATTGTTTGTCCATAAGGCCAAGTGGGTGGCGGAGCGGCGTGTTGTCCTAAACCACCTGATTCACCTGTAATTTCAAAATTAAAAATTATTTTTAAAAATTCTATTTCAATTTCCGATTTACTTTACTTGAAGAAATAGGAATAGTGATACATGTATATGAATTTTAACAGGTAAATATATTTTAAGGGTATGTGAAATATATACTCACATCTGAATTCGTTCCCTAAATGTAGATATTAAGAATAAAATATTAGTAAGGTGTATGATTGAGTTATTAAAACAAAAAAAAACTTCACACATTCATGAATCAAAACGTACTGTTTGCAATATCTCTTTCGAGTGACGAAATAGAAGATTTCATTTCTTCAATAGTGGTCTTCAAAGTTTTGATTATAGACGTCATTTCTGTGATAGTTTTTTCCATTTCGACTCCTTTCGCCTTTTTGACAAAAAATTGCTCCAATACCTTCTGAATTGGATTTTCACTATTTGCAATTCTGGCTGTTTCATCTGAGGTGCCATTTTGTAATCCATGAGACTAAAAAAAGGGAATAGAATTACATATAGGAGTAAAAACCGTTATTAAAACTACATTTAATGTGTACAATCTCAAATTATTATTATATGATTAACAAGATATTAAGTAAATTTTTACTCAAAAAACTATATTACAGGTAAACTATAACAGAAAACTACCTTTTTCACTGAGTGAATAGAATTGATCGATGAATTTCTTTACATAAAATACAACGTTCATCATTTCAGTCTGATGTTATTCCCCTTTTAAATGAATAATTTTCTTCTTTTATTATATAAAACATGACTGTTTTACCTCTATTAATTTTAATATTTTCAAAGAAAGCCATGAATCCTTTTGATATACAGAGATATCTATTTATTGATATTTTATCATTTTAGCTATATGTAAAACCTTTTTATATTTATATCAATCGTCACAAACATATTTGAAATATAGTTTGCAATCATATCGTATATTGAAATAAGTAACAGTATAATTTTAATAGTGACAATTAAAATAAAGAGATGGGTAGTAAATAGGGACTGGGCAGAGAAAATGAAAGGGGGAGGAGAAAATGTATTAAAGAAAGAATTACATGTACTGGTAAATGTATATTATCTAAAATTTGCAAGATTTCTTTTACTATCTGGTTTCAAGGTCTAGTGGTACACATGTAGCTAGTAGAGGAAAACCATTATGCTATATTCATTCTTAAAAATAATCACATTTCCCTCTCAAAATGATATAAAAATATAACACATATAAGAAACTGAAACTTTAATAAAATATACATGTATATGACTTACTTGAGGAACAGCTACTGTGACCAGAAGAAATACACTTACTACAATATGCCTATAGAAACACATCCTCCAATCTGAAAATTATCTTAAGTACATTGTAAATACATACCAGTATGCAAAATGGAAAGTTTACAAATTCATATTCCGAAATAATTTTAATGGCTTTTATACATCCATTTTCCACTACATATACATTGTACTTCAAACTATCAATCAGAGCGTAATTTAATTTAAAATTAAAAGTAAAGAATCGACCGTGCAGGCCAGCCATGTACATGTACGTGTTGGAGATGACGTTGTGTTCAGACAGCACTTTTTTTTTTTAATTGTCTCTATCTAAAAAAAAGGATTACTTTTTCTCAGATCCTGCGCCGAGAAAGAATCTTCCTCGCCTTGTTAAAAATTATTAAAATTATACATAAAGCAGGTGCGATTAACGTCATTGATACAACGTAAAACCGCAATTTTTAATCACGTCACAACTATTGTAATGTCATTTACGTGTGACATTACGTTTTTTGGCAATTCAAAAATTTACGTTGGCAGCGAAAGGGTTAAATGTTTGAAATATTAGGGAATATGTTATTAACGATAAAGCTAGATAGATAGGAAAAGGTTAATGCCGCTTCTTGTTCATTTTTTAAATTATCCAGAATGTCTTTTTGTGTTCAAAATAAATTATCTTTCCTGAAAATAAAAAAGATATGTAAAAAAAAAATGGGAAGAGAAATAAATAAATCGACTACATTGATTGACTGATTGATTTTATGATTAATTTGTCGCATAGGTTTATTGCAGATTTATAAGAAACGTAAATATATGTATAAAACCATGTGTACCTCGTTCCCATTCATTTCAGATAAAGTAATAAAGTATAGAAGCAATTGTCGTGAAAAGAATAATACTTTTTTTTGTCTGATCTCAGAAATATATGCGATTTATTTCTTTAAAAAATATTTTGTGTTAATAATTTTACAATTTTATTCTTTCAAAACAAGAAGTTCGGGGATGAAATTTTTTTTTTACATTATTTTATTAATTTTAGGATTGCTTCTTTGTTTTTTTCTCAGCTGGAAAAAAACTACCCAACAACAGAAATCACCCGTTTTACGATGAATCAATATTAAACATATATAATTTTTTACCCAGGAAAAATTTCCTATGTAATCAGAATAATTATTTTTGATTGACCAATACTTACAAAATACTTGTAGCTGCACAATTTAAAATCAGTGTGTCTGTATCATTTTCCCTATTTTAATAGAATTATTATCGTTAAATAGAGCAGACATGTGTTGTTACATGAGTGATGATTTTTCAAAATAAAAATTTCCTCAGGAAACAAAGTCGATAATTCAGGCAAAATGCAATCATCACGAAATAAGATGATTAATACATATGCAGAATGCTGATTGTGTAAAATGCCTAACTCCTTAATGTATATAAATAAAAAAAAAACAGCAATTTTTTTTTAAAAAGAGAATTAGAACGATGACGAAAAGGGCAAATATGGTAGTAATATTTTTTAGAAATGAAATCCCTGAAAAAAATCTGGAAAAGTATACACATAATTTGGTTGCTTGTCAATTGAACACACAAGTGCATATATATAGGCCTAGTAAAGAAAATGCAGTAAAGTATATTACAATATTTCACTGAGGAAAAAATGTAAATAAAATGCTTAATACCGTAGCTGGCTTATCTTACGGCCTTGGACGACAGCTTGCACTCCGGTCCAACAGATCGACTGTTTCCCTCTACCCCAATCAACAATTGTATACCTTTGCAGGAGGAGGGCTAAAATACTCACACTCTTACAGCAGTACATTTAAGAGGGTTGAATTGCAAAGTGCTACAAGGACCTTCAAAATAAAAGATTTTTTGTGTGTATGCATGTCTACAACGAATGAAATAAAACAATTAAAATATCAATTTTTTTCTTATAATAGACATTTCTAATCAGAATCCTCTGGATTTTAGTTGTTTTATTTTTCATTAATACACAACAAAATTGCAACTTTTCTTAAAACATTTTTTTTGTTTTGTAGTCCTTGTGTTTTAGTACATTATATAGCATGTGTCCCCCTCAATAAAACGTCACCTTGATGACCTTTATTTTCTTTTTGCTTGTCAAGGAATTTGTGGTATAAATTGTTGCCCACCTCAACTAAAATTGCTTCCTACAGGCCTGTCAAGTAATGTAAGCCCAATCAAAACTGCACACATGTTGCATCTTGGGATATACAATGCTAGATTGTAAGTTTTAATGTGGGAATTTGTCTTTCTCAATACAGACAACAATCGCCGAGATGAGCTCCGTAATCTCCGTTTACCAACATAAAATTTTCCTTGGGCAAGAAAAACAACTTGGCAATTTTTTCTCTCGATTTTCTAGTGTCTACAGAGGGATTTTCCTAAAAATAAATAAATAAAATACAAATTAAAAAGAAAAGAGTTGTAATTATTCTATGTTAGATGAATATAAAGAAAACTAGAGGTACTGTGAACACTGAGTTCTCAAAATGATACCTTCCGCCTCCCATATGATTAAAATGGCAAAGTCCATGATATGCTCTTGGAGACCCGAAATAAGTGTCAGATCAAAACTTTAAATAGTAGGTCACAATGGCACGATGTTATAAAAAATAGGGAAAGAATCATTAAATTTTATTCAGTATAGTAAAGGAGGAGTTGATAAGAGATGAGTGCCCTTCAAAATTATAGAAAGGATGGCAGTGGCCATGTTTTGCTATTGGAAAGTCCAAAAGGAAAGAATTTCACAGAATTGCAGAAATGCTACTGTACACCTTCCTTATTTACTTCTAGCCCATTCATAAATCTGCGCACGTGTTTCTACATCGTCGCAAACCACGGCCAAACTTTACGATCCTTTCCCATTCTGGCCGTGGTGCATGAGAAGAGAATATTTCGTAGCTCTTTAAAATATTGACCAATGCGAGGAAAGCATAGTCGGATAATGAACTTTGGTGCGACCTTTCAATACCCAATCGCAGTGTACGAAATACTGCTAATGTAAATTGTTGATTTCAATTGCGATGGAAACAAAACTTGTCATTGACTGAATATGGCAACACAATAGAGAGGCGTAAATATTCAAGATGACACTTTTTGTGATCAAGCAGCCACGGGCAGGAGAAAGCTATATGCGGACTCCGGACCGTGGCTTGAGACGATGGTGTTTCTAAGAATAGTTCCAAAACAACGAAGACAGAATTTCAAGAACAAGGTAAAGTAAGAATGATGAGCATATTTCCCAATATATCTTCAAGTAGCACAAATACATATGTTATCTCTATATCCTCATGTTTAAGTGTAGACGCATTTTCCCATTTTTACACAGATTGAAATATTTTTGTCATGAAATTATGATTTAACAGTGTAATATTTTATCATAACATACCCTTCATAATCATTTCATTATATAGTAAAAGAGCCATAGCGCATTTGATAGTCACTTTAGCCTACTCTAGTAGTGATTTTTAAATACATTACTTAACCAAATTTTTTGTCATACAATGTTAGTTTATACATGCCTTAAAGCAAATCACACAAAAATAATATTCAAATATTGATAGTTCCCTCATATGATAGATATAAAAATCGTTCAGTTTATACGGAGAATATAGTAAATACTGAGGTACCCCCCTAAACAATGTGAAACTGTAGCTAAAGACCACCCTTAACCAGAAAAACAACTTCTGAAAAAAAAATTTTGGATATGACTGCACTTCATTACATTTAGATAATTTTGGTTAAAGGTGGTCTTCATATTGAAAATGTTGAAAATATGTATTTAATTTTTCTTCTAAATTATTTCAAGATTCCACAATCTGTCTTAATTTTATCCCTTTAAATCACATAACTTCGTGGTTTAGTGGTATGATTGCTGGATTGTAGACATAATGATTGTGAGTTCCAGTCTCACATGCAGTGCGTGTTTCTTTTCTACGATTTTATTTTTTTCTCTGTGCATTTTTCCTACGTTTTCTTTTATTATTTTTTTTATAATACATGTATAAATAATGTAAGAGATATATAATACAACATAACACCTTGAAAGTATCTCGGGAAAAACAGTCTTAAACTATTTTAATGACCCCAAGCCATAGAGCTGCTAGCTTGTATTATTTTTAAAAATTTTCTAACAATCTTGTTTAGAATAAGAGTATTTAACAAGTAAAATTGTTGTCATGTAACAAACTTGCAGCTATTAAACTTAACATTGGTCCACAAATAATTACATTCATGTTGTTTGAACTTAAATTGAAAAGGTACCTGTATCTATCAATAGAAATTTAAACAGGTGATTTCCATTTAAGGTGGAATGCCACACTAATTTTTTATTTTATAGATCTTTGAATCATCCTTTTAAAACAAGGGTTTTAGCATGGAAGGTCGATATTAGCTCTTAATTATTTTATATGAATTTTTTTGTATTTTTTCAAAGAAAATGAAAAAATTTAAATAAATTCAACGAAGATGTTTTCGAGTTAAAGTTTGCTGTAAATGAATGTATCATTTTAATATCTAATAAAATATGTAAAGAAAGGATTGTTAGACTTTTTAATTTTTTTTTATAAAAAAATTTTTATGAAAATAAAACACATTATTTGTGAATATTTTTTAAACCTATGGTTAAAATCACCATAAAACTAGTCACATCTAAGGACATGTTTGTCAATCATATTTTTTAAAAAGAAATTGAATCGAAATTGAGAAATTTTAGAGAAATTAATTTTTTTAATATTTGGACCTAACCCGATCAAAATTAAACTGATCCCGATCAAATTTAATACAAAATTAATAAAATGATAATTTACTGTATTTACAATGAAGAAATCTATTTTATTGTCAGGTTCATTAATGTTTAAATCCTTATTACACTTAATCAGACTAGTGCTCTTGGGGAAATGTATTTATTTCCAATAAATATACAATTATGGTTGGGATCGGTTTAATTCTTATCGGGATCGGCCAAAATAAAAAAAAATTAATTTCTCTAAAATTTGGCCATTTCGTTTCAATTTCTTTTAAAAATATAATCGACAAACATGTTCTCCCCAGTTATGACTGGTTTTAAGAAAATTTTAACCACAAATTTAAAAAATATTCACAAATTATGTGTTTTATTTTCATAAATATATTTTTATTTTAAAAAAATTAATATCTATACGGCTTTTCTACACATATTTTATTAGATATTAATGTGATGCATTAATTTACAGCGAAAAGTTTACAAGAAAGCGTCTTATTTTGATTGAAATAATTTTTTTCATTTTCTTTGAAAAAATACAAAAAAATTCATACAAAATAATTGAGAGCTAATGTCGGCCTTTCAATGCTGAAACCATTGTTTAAAGAGGTTGACTCACAGATCTATAAAATAAAAATTTGGTGTGGCATTCCTCCTTAAATACTTGAGTAGGCCGAGTCGTCTGCAAGGCAGCTATGGCTCTTTGCTTGGAGGAAAAGTCTGTGTAAAATTTCATATTTTATCATAAAAAACGAGATAGCAATTGATTTCCTTGAAAAATAACTCTAGTTTATAATTCTGTAATTTTGCATCGTAATTACTCTGACGCGTGTCAATAACAGGTAAATGACACCAAATGCATTGTAAACCAATTATTTGTTTGAAAGATTGATTTTGGCACATCTTATATTCACATGATCTTTCAAATAGCATGTTGTTTTTTTCGATTTCCATTAAAATTTCTCGTAAACGTACATTTAAGGTATTTTTAAATTTAATATATCTATAATTCCACAAAAGACGTTTAGTTGAGTTGGTTAAGAACAAAACAAAATGTGTAATTTTTCATTGATCTTTCATAAGGCAGGTGTTTTCGATCTGCATGATACACCGCTATATACAAACTTTTTGAAAGAACACGAATCACTGGAACATCCTCATCCTCAAAAGGTAAGATCAGTTTTATTCTCTAAATAACTAATAATGTATTCCGTCGAAGAAATTTTAGCCCTCTTAAATCACATTTCTTCATAATATCTTTGGCCATTTCGACTATTTGCACTGCAAGAGAAATTTCCAGTTAAGGATATAAGTTCTAGTTTCCAGAATTGTAGCTAATGGTTACTACCTCACTTCTTTTCCCCATACAATGATTTTCAATTAGTCCTTGATATGGATACTAGTTTTCTGATTGCCTGGATAACTATCGTTTTTTTAAAACTAAAATATATTTGTTGGTCAATTTGCTATTTGAAAATGCATTACTGATATTCTAATTCTTTTTTTCTGCAAAAAATATTGGAGATTTGACAATTTTCCCTAAATAATATGATTAACTTTAATTTTTATCTTTAAATAAATACTGTTGATAAATCTATATAACATTGTGGATTCAGAGATACTTTTATGAGTATTTTTGATTACTTAACTGCTAATTTATAAATCTGAGGATCGGACTCATTCATAACTGATGTAACTGTATATGTATCTTTTTCAGATAACGGGAACGATGAATTCAAAGAAAGCTGTCTTTGCAATTCTTTTTATAAGTGGATGGTTCATCATTAATGCCACCACTTCTCTTGTAAAGGTATGCACAATGCTCTGTAAGATTTATCTGAGGTACCTAGGTATTTATGTTCGCGAAATCGGAAGTATTCTTTTATGCATTTCAACAAATATTCGAATCATTTGTTATATTTACAGACATAGTATGCTTAAAAAGCTATTCGATCCGTAATTTCATCCTAACGATTACATGCATGTTTGAAATATGTTTGAATACATAAAAACAATGAAGACAATATCATCAGGGCAAAATAGCTTTTCGTTGCCATTGCAACAAGTTTCTATATATTGTTTATATAAATTCAACAAAGGATGGGAATTTTTTTTTATTAAAAATGCTCAGCATTTCAAAATTTGAAATTTTTGTGTCAGTATTGTCCACACTAAAAATATGTAGATATTATGACTGTGTCCATGCACTGTAGGCCAGAGATGACCGAGAGTTGTCAAAGTCAAGATGTGGGGCACTATATCATCTTTACCATGAAGTTCAGTCCATTAAACAAGAAATCAAAACACTTAAAAATCGTGAGTATTAATTGTTGAAGTTTGAAGTGTTTTGCTTAAAGCAACAAGAATTTTCATGTTACGTTTGATAATGATGATAAAAGTTAAAGTTATTATATCAGGTTTAATGAAATACTTTAATTAGAAGATTCTCCTCAATCAAAGGAACGATTGATAGTCGTAAATTGTAATGATTTCGTATATGCCTACGTTATGGTTTTGCCCCCTCAATTTCAATTGCTACTGATTTTTTTTTTGGATTGTCTAGAAAAAATTGGCCGAGCCCCACTTCGCCAAAACCACTAAAATTTTTTGCCCGTGGGCCTGAATTACGCGATTTAAACATTATATGATTTCAGGAAACATTAAATGGACCTAAACAAAAAAATGTTTTTCATTACATTCCTAATATAGTTTGTATTGTACAGAATCTCAAAAGATAGCAGAGGAGATTTTAAAAAAAATGACCTCATTTTGCAGGAAGACAATTATAAATTTCTGTTGTACACATTTTTTCAGGGAGAAATACTGTGTGTAAGTAGTTTTAACTATTATATATTCCCAATTTATTATGGCCAGAAAAGTTATAGATGGGCGATACAGACGGTTTAACAAATTTATTATTTTTTTTTAATAATCACAAATAGCTGAATCAACTGATTACTTAATACATTTTACTTTGATAACAGGTGAATCGGGCGTGATTGAATTATACCACAGAAGAGGTCAACGCTACACCTGGCCACAGATTAAACATATTGATTTCAAGAAACCTTTTGAGGAAAAACCTGCGATAACCTATGGAATATTCACCCTCGATACTTCGCATGAGGAAAACACACGATTTCTTACTAAATTGGTAAATAGAACAAAGTCAAACTTTGCGTTAAGGTTGGCCACTTGGGGTAAATCGGAAACATACGGTGTGGGGTTAAGCTGGATGGCATGTGGAAAAGGATAATTTAAACAATAAGCACCGCTTTCAATTAAACTATAAAAACACGCATTTTTCACTGTACTAAAAGTGATAAAATTTAGAACTTCAACAAAAAGCTGTAATTATCAAATTAAACGACAAAGGTAATTCAAGTGTTCTTTTTTCGACTTTGTTTAAGCTAGGACATTGCAATCATGTCAATTTTATTCCAAAATATTTACATTTCCAATGTATTTGTCCGAGATAAAATTACAAATTGGAAATATACTTTATTTCTCCATCAATGTATTGGCACGGTTCCCAAAAAAACCACGTGCAGGGCGGGACAAACAGCTAAACAGAAACAGGGCTTGGAGCACGTGGATTGGCGGAATCAATGCATGTTTACAAATGTAAGAAATAACTTCAGATTTTTCAATTTCATGACGCTGATCAATCGATTGGCTTGCGTGATAATTTTATGTATAAACGCCTTCGGTAAGTAGCTAAGAGAATTCACAGAAGTAGCAATTAATCTCAATTTAGTTTATGCTGTTGGTGTTGCAAGGTCTTTAGAATGAATATTTGTCGGTTTTAAATTTTCATGTTTTTCCTTAAGATCGTAGCCCAGGTCCAGCAGATTATAAAATACACATTGTGCACAACAATGTATGTAGTTTACTTTCTAAATGAATTTTCAGGAAATGATATAATTGCAATTACTGAAACTCACTAAGATCAGAGTATTGACAATAATAATCTTTCTCTTACTATTATTATCAACCAGTTAGAAAAGACAGAAATAGATATGGTGGAGTAGTAGCATTGTACATTTCAACTAGATTAAATTTTAAAGTTAGAAATGATTTAAATTTTTCTGATATTGAAATATTATGGGCAGAGATCCAGTCACTAAATCTAAAGATTTTGGTTGGAGTCATCTACAGACCTCCCAACTCTGGGTCTGATTATTGGGATAAATTTACAAGTACTGTAGAGAGAGAGAGCTCTTAAGTTACAGAGATGAAATTGTTTTTGCTAGGCGATTTCAATGTAAACATGTTAGCCCCAGGGAATAATACATTTAAAAACCTACTACTTCAACTTAATTTAAGTAATGTTGTCTTAGAGCCTACCAATTTTACAACTGATATTGGAACTTGCATAGACCTAGTGTTAACTAGTGATCTACCCAAAAGTAAGAGTTTTGTAGTCGATGAACCCATATGTAGTTCTCTTTCACCTGTCTCTATAGAAATCTCATTTCAAACATATATTAAGCAACATGCCTTCAAACGCACAGTTAGAAATTATAATAATGCAAATTATCAAGGCCTAAACAACGACTTACAAAATGTTAATTGGGATGAAAAAGTGCTTACCTCTAATAATATGAATGAAGTCTATCAAAGTTTTACATGCACTTACCTAACCTTAGTAGATAAACATATACCAAAAAATCTTATTACAATACGTCCATCAGATAAACCATATATTACCACAGAAATTCGTAGGAAAATGAGGCAAAGAAAAAGAATTCATAAAAAGGCAAAGCATACTAAAAATCCATTACACTGGCAAAAATTCAGACAGGTCCTTAACAAAGAAATAGACTTAGTACGGAAAAGTAGGAAGGAGTACAAAATTAAATTTGTATCTTCACTCATTGACAAATCTATTCCTCCAGGAAAGTGGTGGCGTATAGCAAAATCCGTTGCAAGGTTAAAGAAACAAAGCTCTCCCCCATCCTCCATTAAAGCCGCTTAACCCGAAAAGTACGCCATTACATAGATAATATATAAAAATAAATTATAAGATTGATTTAATAGTTTTTACAACAATCCTTACATGAAAATCGCATATCAAAAACCTTATTGACAAACAGTAGTTCCTGACGGAAGTTTAAGATCTGTTGTGAAGTCAATTTTGAAAAAAATAAACTTACCTGTTATATCTACATGTAATAATGAAGATAATTCAAACCCGAATATTTTTTCTCTATTAGTGAAAGTCTTAGTCATAATACATCTTTTCAAAATTAAGAAATTAATTGAATATAGTCCATAGTATTTTTATATTAATATGCATATTTAAAGAATGAAGGAAAATCAGATATTTTAAAAGATATTTTTTAAAAGAGCTACAATATTGTCCGTGTACAGGTAATATAAGTACTTTATTGTGGAAAAAAAATGCCCGGGATTGTTCTTCATGAGATAAACATGTAAGCGATAAATTTAATTTTTCGAAGGTGATTTCACGCGATATAAACAATGATCAACATAGGATTATTTTTTGTGTGACCTAACAAAAATTTTTGTTTTTAACTTTTAAATTTTGATATCTTTTAAAAGAAAAATACTTTGGGGATATAATTTTACAAAAGTTGAAAAAATTTATGGACAATTATTTTTCAATAAGAAAAACGAATATATATTTTTAGCGATTAGAATCGGACCAAGCCGCTTTAAATCACAAGATGGTAGAATATTGATGCATCCAATTGATAAAGCTGAAGAATTTAATATTTTTTTCTCTAATATATCACATATTGAAAATGAGCCAGATTTGCCTGAACATGGAGCTGGACCTCCAGACTATATCTGTGATTTTGAAATAAATGATTAAGATGTTCTTGATCAGTTAAGCTTACTTAATCCCTTTAAACCATATGGACCAGATGGAATACTTCCCAGAATATTAAAGGAAACCCGTTATTCCATATATAAACCTCTACGTAGATTATTTAACCTATCACTTACAAATAAAGTTCTTCCATACATATGGAAACAAGCACATATTTCACCTACTTTTAAAAATAAAAGCTGTCCCCAATAACCTAATAATTACAGACCAATATCATTGACTTGTTCTATATGTAAACTAATGGAAAAAATACTTTTAAAATATACGTTTAATCATATTAAGAAACATGACTTATTGTGTAAATACCAATCTGGGTTCCAACCTTGGGATTCTACTTTTAACCAATTAGTTGAAATATATGATAAAATTATGTCAAACCTTGACAGAGGCAGAGATATACGCTTTATACTAGTATTTTGTTACATTTCTTAAGCGTTTGACAAGGTATGGCATAAGGGAATGATTTTCAAACTTAAAAACTTTGGATTTAGAAGTAATATACTTGGTTGGATTGAAAACTACCTTACTGAAAGACAACAAAGAGTGAATTTAGAAGGCTTTTCATCATTATATAAAACAATAGATGCTGAGGAACCTCAGGGGTCTGTACTGGGTCCCTTCTTGTTTTTGTTTTATATAAATGATATAGCTTAAGATATATCTTGTAATTTTCGACTGTTTGCTGATGATACTTCTTTGTTTGCTATTATAGACAATGATATCAATGCTCCAACAATGTCCCTTACTCAAGATCTTGGAAAGATAAGAGATAGGTCCAAAGCTTGGGCTGTAGATTTTAATAGTGCAAAAACTGTTTATGTTGATTTTACTAGAAAACACATCAGTTATCCTAATATTCAGTTTGGATATGGAGGTGATTATATAAAACAATCAATTACTCATGTTCATTTAGGATTACAATTTCAAGCAGATGGTTCTTGGAATAATCATATATTAAATATATATGAAAAGGCATGTAAAAGATTGAATATATGTAGTTTACTGAAACATAGTATTGATAGAAATTCACTAATTAAAATTTATTTTGCCTTTATAAGACCAATTTTAGAATATGCTGATGTTGTATGGGATAATTGTACCCAAATTAGTTCAGAATTGCTTGAAAAAATTTCGATAGAAGCTGCCAGAATTATTACTGGGCTAAGAGTTATTTCATCCAGAACTTGTATGTATGCTGAACTACGATGGGAACCATTACATCTTAGAAGAGAAAAACACAGACTTCAGTTGATGTATGAAATGATTGATGGTTCTGCACCTGATTATTTGTATGATTTGATTCAACCTTGTTTTCCATACAACCTAAGGTCTGGATGTAATAACTTATGTATACTAGTTTGTAAACAATGCCGTACAATAATAGTTTTATTCCCTCAAACATAAAACTTTGGAACAGTCTTAGTGAAGATGTAAAAAAAAATCTCCATCAAGCAAAGCTTAAGAATTGGGGAGCAACTAATAAACCTTCTAGGTACTTTAACTTTGGTAATAGAAAAGAAAATATCTTGCATTGCCAAGTGCGAAACAATGCTAGTAATCTTAAGGGGGGACCTATGTCCGAAAAGTCTTTGTGTGAAATTTTCAAAACTTTAATATTTCTTTCCTGATCACTTGCTCCTAATTTTAAGTTATTAAAAACAATACCTTTATATACTTATTTTTACACAGGAGCACGTGCAAAAACAGTGTGAAATGCTAAAAATAGATTATTTTCTGACATTATTGTTCTACTCCAAATATGCGCTAAAAAGAACCAAAAATGTCAAATCACATTCGAAATCAACATGTATTTAATTTATAAGACTTGTATCTTAAAAATAAAGGCAAATTCATTGTAATTCATCTCATAATGAAAAATTATTAAGGAGCACAATGTAAGTATCACCCCGTTTTCCTCGTCGTATTTTTTACCATTCCGACGTGCATAACGGTAATATCTTAAAAAGTCTTTGTGTGAAAATGTTGTAATTAATATTTTTTGAAAATAAATGACCCATCTCTTTATTTTAACAAAGAAAAAATTATACCTTTATGATAAAATAAACGAGAAATATGACGTTTTCTTTTATTTTCGTACTCTTCTGTCATAAATATTGACCTTTCTGTACTAAAAAAAAGGTAAGTTAGCACTGACAAAAATCTGGCTATAGAACTATTTTGCAAAAAACGATTATTTTGTTTTGATAAGAAATAATTTAAACAGATAAACTCTTCTTATTCATTCTAATCATTTAACCCCCCTCCCCTTTCCCCGTCAACAACCAACACCTAATAGAACCTAGAAATGACTTTATACAATAAAATCTACATACACTATAAATCAATAAGTACATGTGTAAATATAGGTACAAGTACATTTCTTAATTTTTTCTTAGTTTGATCCAGAAAATACAATCAATGGTAATCATACAATTAAACATATTTCCCTTATCTAAGCCGCTGTCTTTGCTGAATTTTATCTTATATTTTTTTTTGCATTTTTATATCAGCATATAATTTAA